CTCTCACAGAAGGCTGACATCAATGAAGAAATCCAACATCACTTCAAATGTGCAAGTAAAGACTTCAGGTGCCTGAGGAAATGGGTGTTCGAAGATCATGACATCAAATCCAAAACCAAGCTCATGGTTTATGAAGCAGTTGTGATTGCCACCTTATTGGATGGAGCTGAGACATGGACAACATACAGGAGATGTCTCAAGTTTTTGGAGAAGTACCATCAATACTGCCTGTGGAAGATCCTTTGAATTCAGTGGGAAAATAATTGCACCAACATTAACATCTTCCTGCAAGCAAACCCGATGCGCATCAAGGCGATGATCATCCAACATCAAATTGGCTGGGCCAATCTAGATGTCTGACTCCAGATTCCAAAAGCAAGTTGCATTCTCCCAGCTCAGTCCAAGTATACACTCCAGAGGATGGCAGAGAAAGCACTTTAAGGACATCCTCAAAGCCAGCTTGAAAAAATGCAACATCAACATCAACCCCTGGGAGACTATTGCCCAGAACTGCCCAAAATGAAAGAAAAGTCTGCCGCAAGGATCTCAGTACTTTGAAACGTTACAATGACAGCAGGAGATGGAAAAGCGAGTGTGGCAGAAACAGCATACCATGACCCAAATCAGAACTCCAGAGCCAACTCCTCAGCACAGAAGCATATGCCTGAACTGCAACACAGTCTGCCAATCCTGGATCAGCCTCATCAGCCACCTTTGGATCTACAAATAAGACCATCATGGAAGACAGTCATCCTCGACTGTGAGGGATTGCTGAATAAGATGTATAGTTTGTATAGTCATTTGGGATGTTAAAGGCACAAGTGGAAATTGCTCCAAATGAGGCAGAGGAGTGAAGACTTGAACCAAGATCTTATAGCTCCTAGGATAGAGCTGAGACTACCATCTATAAAGGCATTTACACAAGCGCTCTAACCAAATTAATATTTAAGGAATTTATAAAAAGTGGAACAGCTCCAACTGTAGTGACTGAAGAAGGCTCTTTTCTCAAAATACTGTATAATTCAGTCAGAAGTGTGGCAGGGCAGCTCTTTGCCTAAAGTAGCCATAATGCATGGGGTAGCACTGGCTGCTGTGATATCAACTGTGGGGATGTAGTCAGCTGCCCCTGCAGTGGTGACTGTTTTTGAGCTTTCTAGAAATGTAGCTCCCAGGGCTGCTGGCTGGTTGCCCAACCCCCCTGCCCCATCAGTTATAGCACTGAATCCAGTGATTAGTACACTACCTTTTATCAAATAAGGTAGAAGGTTTAATTGTGGACATCCCACATCCCCAGTGAGAGCTGTAACCTCTGAGCTACTGGTATAATCAGGAAAACATTGCCTTGTCCTCCGTATATGGTCCTATCTAGGAAATATATTCAAATTCCACAGGTAAGATAGATATGTGATGCTTAGACTGTGACTTTATTCAGGTTTAGACACTAAGCTGCCTGGTATCCTCATGGCTTGAATGGTTATGCACAAGATCAATAGTAAAAGGTTATGCACATACAGAATTTGAGTACATCTGGGTTTTCAGGATCTACATTTTCAGCTTAGGTAGCTGACGTCATAGTTAGGCATCTTTGGGAGCATCTATACAAGATGCTGACTGCAGTAGCCAAAAAATACTGTGCAGTAGAGCATCACAGATCAAACAGTGCTAATACACTACTGCATGGCATTATTAGGCTGCTGCGCAGTAGCATTACCTAAAAGACATTTGTCAGTGCAGCACATTTATTTAGTATTTGCTAATTCAAGTACTATATAAATGCTTAGTAACAACTGCACAGTAGTGTCTCATGTAGAAGAACCCTTTGTGTATCTAGCCCTGAATGTTTACTTACTGGCTGGATCCAGACGAGCAGGCACATGTGGTTCATGGTGCTGCAAACCTATTTGCAACACCAGAAACTGCACAAGTTGCACGTTAATCAGTGTGCAGTACTGCTAATTTACAAAGCTGGCACAAAATTTGCTACTTGGATTTCCTGGTAGCAAAAAAAAACAGTGGAAACCATGCTAAAGTGGCAGGCACCAGGACAAACGTAGAGACGGGGAAGCAGGTAGCCCTAGGCTGCCTCCTCTCCCATCTCTGTGCACTGTGAAGCCCCCATACTGTGCCCCAGCCAGCCACAGAGCTGCCTACTCCCCCATCTCAAGGCACACTGTGCCCTAGCATGGGGGCTCCATATGCCCTGCACTGAGGCACACAGAGACAGGGGAGCAGGGCTGTCTGCTCCCCTGTCTCCAAGCATGCTGTGCCCCAGCCAAGAAGGGAGCTGGCTGGCTGGGGTGCAGGGTGCCTCAGCATGAGAGCTTTGCAATGCTGCTCCCCAACTGGCTGCAGCACAGGGTGCCTTAGCACAGGGGATGGCTAGCCCCTGCTCAGGCACCCTGTGCCCCAGCAAGACCTCCTTCCCTTCTTACCCTGCCCCCCACAGCACATGGAGCAGCAGAACAGTATGTCCTACTGCAAAACACACATGCAGGGGGGTGCACTGCTACACAAAGTAGAGGCACACATTTGTGCTGCTACTATTTGTGCTGCTGCAAAGACATGCCACTGCTCATGTGGCCCTGGCCACCATGTTAGTAAAAGTACCTACTTTAAGGTCATAGGCAGACAAGGTTCTTTGGGTGAATCTGATAT